GAATTTTTCTTCTTCGTTCGCTATATCTTCTCATTGCTATCTCAAAAGAATCATCATACATTACAGTTTTAAAATAGCTAGTTCATTTCCCATTTATTATCTAGTAGCTACTGCATGAATTTTAATACATGTGTTATGCTACATTATACACATGAGAAAAATCAAACACTGATTCGACAGCAGATTTCGTAACAAATGTCTTAGTTCTTGTTCGTGCATTTTAAATGTACTAACAGGGCAGTAAACTTCACGGCAGACGGCCTTTTTGGCCGCCGACTGGAATGTTTCTTCTTCGTTCGCTATATCTTCTCATTATTATCTCAAAAGAATCATCATACATTACAGTTTTAAAATAGCTAGTTCATTTCCCATTTATTATCTAGTAGCTACTGCATGAATTTTAATACATGTGTTATGCTACATTATACACATGAGAAAAATCAAACACTGATTCGACAGCAGATTTCGTAACAAATGTCTTAGTTCTTGTTCATTGCCAGTGGTATTTTGAACGCACGCTTTACCTTTGAGGCCCTGTTAGGGGTCTGAATAATCCATAATCCAAGTAAAAATTTAAAAATAATCCGTATCCCATTTCTATAAACAAAAATATCCCTTCAATAATTTAAAGAAATGTGAACAGTAGATAGATAGATAGATAGATTGTTTAATAATTCACTTTTTGCAGTACAAATACTGAATTGGTAAGCGATTACAATATAAATAAGACTGAATACAAATTATATTACATTTAAAAAATTACAACCTATGCTATGCCTATGGCTTACTAAGAAGATTATAAATATTAAAACTAACACTAATTTGTTGAATTACGATTATTTATGTCTAAACAACTAGCGATGACATACGAATTCTTAAAACGTTCAGTATAGAATTTCGGAACATGTATCTTCTTGTTGTTTCGTAATTCGTAATTTAATGAAGTATCTATTTTAGGGATTAAATCTGAAGTTTATGGTTCGGGTTATTTAAAATTTGATTAAAAAGTTTATTGCAGGCAATTTGCCTTCTAGCGTACAATGACTCCATCCCAGCTTCCACTGATCAATGCATCTTCGTAATGTAAGTTCGGATATACAATTCGAAGAACCCGTTTTTGTACTCGTTCAATTTCATCACTCAAGTATTTAGGTAAAGAGTAGTGGAAAACAGTGGAAGCGTATTCCAGAATGGGGCGGTACATACGGTATAGAATTGTAAAACATCTTGAATCGCGACTTTTGCTCGTTTCAGCTGCACTAAAAGGTAAATCCTTTTGGAACTTTTGTCACTATGTTATTGACATGACTATTACACTTCAAATTGTTCGCGATAGTAAGACCCAGTAATTTTGCTTCTTCCACCACTTGTAAGGGTTTACCATTAATTTTAATAGGAGGAAAGGGATTTCTATTTTTCTCAAAGTCTATCCGCAGAAGAATGTAGCGTACTAAATACATAGGACTAAATATAACTTTACTTGTAGGGCCTACCGCATTTTAGTACTGTGTTATTAAGCCTTTCGCGCTCGTATTCGACTTGTCCGCTTAGCTCGGGAAAAACCTTAAATCTCAATTGAAAGAGCTGTGTATACTGTATGTATCATGTACATTGTACAGTAATGTGCGTAGTTGTATAGCCCCAGCGAGTTAACGCTCCGTAGAGCGTCTTGTTAACTATATATTGGGTAAGTTGCAGCAAAATATGGGTAATATCTTCATTCTTTGCAGTTTGTCATGGATTAAATGATAATGTCTGCATGATTTTGAAAAAAGAATGATTATTAGCAAATTATTGGGGGGCGGCCCTCACCCCCCCTCCCCCCGTTGCTACGGCCCTGAGTTCGCGTGTGTTCCATTTCAAATGTGCGAAATGGTCAATAATTAAACATTTTCAGCACCTTTTAATGGTGTCACCAGTATAATGAAGATATTGATATTGACTGGCATCTTATGACCTCTTACAAACTGCAAATTGTACCTCTTATTTTTATTTTCAATAGCAAAAATAGATGATCTTTGCATATCAATAATCCTAAAATCCTATCCAGATAATCCATAATCTTTTTTTTTAACCAGCAATAATCCGTAATCCTGCCCAAAAATGCCAAATAATCCGTAATCCTAAAACCCTAACAGGGCCTCATCTTTACTTGCGCTAATTCTAGTAGCTACTGCGCGAATTTTAATATACATGTATTATATATGGCGCGTTATTACTGTCAAAATTCAATAGGTCCAATAGTTATAAGTCGAACACCAAGTCAATCACCAATGATACAAATCGGGCAACATTTACTCGAATCGAGCAGACTGATATGTAAATCGAGTATTGAAATCGATCAATATACATTCAGAACGAGCACTAGTATAGCCAAATCGAACGACTATTCCTTGTTTATATTATATTGTGAACTAAATGTGTATTAGGCAAATGAGAACCATGCAATAAATGTCTTGGTATTTTGAATGCAAGCTTTATCTTTACTACTTGCTCGAACTCTAGTAGCTACTGCGCGAATTTTAATACATGTATTAATGTATATTGTCGACATTTTGTAGGTGAAAAGAATTGGCTAGTTTACATTGTTCATTATATTATGAAATATGATACTAGTTAAAATTCGCGTCGAGCTAAATGTTATTGTACTAGGCAAATGAGAACCATACAATAAATGTCTTAGTTCTTGTAGGTATTTTAAAGGCACGCTTTATCTTTAGTATAGCTACCACAAAGCGTTTGGCGCGCCAACTAGTAGCTACTGCGCGAATTTTAATACATGTATTAAGGTATATTGTTGACATTGTGTAGTGAAACTGTCAAACCTTTAACTTTTCCTTGTTTATATTTTGTGTTTATATTATATTGTGAACTAAATGTTATTCTATTAGGCAAATTAGAAACATACAATATAACAATAAATGTCTTAGTTCTTTTTGGCATTTTGATCGAACGCCCGCTTTATCTTTACTTGCGCAAATTCTAGTAGGTATTGCGCGAATTTCAATACATGTATTTTAATATTGTCAAACCTTTATATAACCTTGCCCTTGTTTATATTGTATTGTGAACTAAATGTTATTGAATTTAGGCAAAGGAGAACCATACAATAAATCAAAATAAACTGTCGAACCTTTAACTTGTCCTTGCTTATATTCCACTATATTGTACAAATTCGCGTCGGGTCCAAATTTTGGGGGTTTTCGAGTCGTTTAATACAACATATTGATTGTATAAATCCGCCAGGTCGGCCAAATTTTGGAAGCCAAATTTTAGAGTCGTTTAATACAAAAAGAAAATCATTAATTCAACACGCAAGAAAGTCCAGAGTGCGACAAAAAATGAACACAACTACACCACGGATGTTTATGACTCTACAACGTATAATTATAGACAGTTGTTTATTAGTTAAAAAGTCAAACTGTCGAACCTTTAACTTTTCCTTTGTAAAATTCGCTGGGTCCAAATTTTGGGGTTTTCGAGTCGTTACATGAAGAAAAACATATTAATTCAACACGCAAGAAAGTTCAGAGTGCGACACAACGTAAAATCCATAGGAAACCGGCACGACTCTTTGAAAACTCAACGAAACTGTGTGAAATATATTCTGATCACTCAGCCAAAAGGCGCCATTTTGAAACTGGACTGAATATGTCACCATTGGAGTTCGGAATTGTGCGCGTGCGTATAAGTCCATATAAGTCTATATATGAGCTAATAAACGAAAAATGCACCACAAGCATGGCATGAGCCGGCTAATACGTACATAAATACAAGCTTCTTACTATTATACATGAATCGTGGAGTCGAAGAATCGATGGCATTTTGGATTAATCGTTGCACCCTGAGCCTGTGATGCGCGAACGCAAACTCGATTTCTCGACGACGAAAAAAACAGAAGAAAACAGAAAACTAGGGATTCAGGTCAGTGTAACAAGTAAATGTTTCCGTTTCGTATAGTCTAGTAAGTCTATAAATGTATTGTTTGATGATAAAATGTCCTAAGTTATAGGATATTAAGATATAGGTTTATTAGCTTTGGGAGTGTTATAGTCCCTATCATGAACGTCGCGAATAACTATGTCGATTGCATACTGTCTGGTGCAAACATATTGAGCTATAAATTCTACGCTGTATAAGTGGCCAACGCTCGAGCCTCAAATTTTGCTATTTTACCTCCTAGACCTAGTATATGTTCGTGGCTCTTAAAAGTAGACAAACATTTCATGTAGTTGAATGCTGTTCTTAGGGTATGTGGCGTTCGGAAATATTCCATAAATTGCTACGATTTGGGATTTCGCGATTCGGAAAACCGAAATGATATTGATTTGTGCGATGTCGCCATATCGGGCTATTTGCCAACCGAGCGCGCTATCCGCTGTTATTTTGACAGAATATGATACCTCTACTATGGTGGCCCAGCATTACCATAGTGATATACCTGTTTTATTTACAATGAGATGTGAAAAAATAGTTAAAAATTAATAAAAGCAATATAAAATTAAAATTTAAAAAAATACATGACATAAAAATATAGAAAAAGTATTTGAGTAAAATTTAAACCAAAAACAAAAAATAAATTAAGAAAAAAAACCGAAAAAAAATCGAACAGAAAACAAATTCATAAATTTATGAAAAACTGAAAAAACAATTAAAGGCACTAAAACATAAAAAATATAAAATAAAAAACCGATTAAGAAAACAACTTTGAAAATTTCAAAACATTTGATTTTCAATTTGATTTGTATTTTGCTATGATAACGATGGGCCATCGAAACATGTCAAAAATCAATTTCGAATGTTGCGATGGCCCAGCGTTTCCATAGCCCAGGATATCGTTGGTCAGCGGCCGCCCACTCGTCACATGGAATTACTGCAAATTAAATGCGAATATTCATGCAAGGTCAAGAAAGTTTTGCGCATTTATTTTATCAATTTTTGTTCTGTGATCTATCTGTGACCGTTCTTCGAGAAGTTTTTTGTTGGTTAAACGAAGAACTATGAAAAGGCAAGCAGTTTGGAATGATCTTCAAGCAAAAATGAGTGGAAAGAGAACTCGTACTGATGCCATGTCAGGGCGAAAGAAGAAGTCCGGATCGACTGCTCCTCACGAGATCATAGTACAACGGCTAGCGTCCGAGCCAGATACTAAGCAGACATTTAGACCTGTGCAACCTAGGGAATTTGTCAACTTTGAGTACGAAGAACTTTCATTGGTAAACTTAAAGAAAGCGTGCGCAGCCCACTTCAACTTGCCAGCGAGCACGTGCGATATTTTGGTTTCAAACAAAGGACCTTCATGTACAAACATTGGACAGATTCCACATCGGAAGGATAAGGTAAAATGAAAATTTTGTGAGCCTTAACATTTCAAATTTAATGGCCTAAATTCAATAGTTTTCATATGTAAAATAGGTTTGTACCCGCATAGGGCCATCCCAGTTAAAATTCCCCCCCCCCTTAACCAGGTTACTGGGTTTAGGGTTACCAGGTTACTGGGTTTATCAGGTAAAATTTTAGCACCCTTCGAAGTGCTTCATATAAACAATTTTCAGACTGATTTAGTTGGTCAGTTTTCACCAAGATCTCAGGGGGGCATAAGAGCTACAAATGTCATCTTCATTCTTGTATGGATTTATAGTACATGTATATTATATATATGATATTATTGTGGAAAGAAGTATTAGAGTACTATCATCACATTTTCTAAACAGGTTTACCTGGTAAGATTTGTGGTGATGCAGGATGACCAGCCATTGTCTGAAGACAGAGTTGAAGATTATTATGAGGACAGCATATCAACTTCACACCCCAATAGAAATTGTAAAAGTGCAACTGCCACATGCAGCCCAACCAAAAGTAAGACTATAGAAACAGCTTATCCAGCTTCAGTATCAATAGATGCTTTACTAAAAGCTGGTAAACTAGCAAAACCACAACCAAAAAACAAAGTAACCATTACTTTTGAAGCATTCGACATTGAATCAAGAGAGTGGACGGAAGTCATGGAGGAAGAACTTCTGGTCGACACCAAGAAATTTGCTTCTGGTGGCTTCAGAGATGCTTTCCATGCAACTGGAAAGAAAAGTGCTAAAAACCACCAACCAACAGAATGGGTTGTGAAAACCTATAATGCAAGGGCTAAAAGCACAATTGAAGGGATTGCAAGCACATCAGTTGAAAACCACTGTCGCAAACAGGTGCAAATGCATGCTGTGGCACGACACTTCACAAAGAAATTTGATTCGAAAGCCCCATCCAGTTTTGGTAAGTGTTTTAAGTATAACCGCTGTTTCTATACCTTGTACAATGGTGAGCCTGCAACAATTGAAGAGTATGTGCCAGGCAGATTTGTGAAGATTGTCAACAATGATGGCCAGTGTATAAAACCACCAGAGGGAGCAAGCAGTCAGTGCAAGGAGATATTTGCCAAGGCACAGTGCTTGGTGCACTATACCTATCACTCATCTGAGAAGAAACTTATGCTTCTTGATATACAGGGCTCAGATTTCACACTGTATGACCCAGAAATAGCCACAGATAATGTTTTAGATATTGAAACAAATGAAATGTATTTTTGTTGTGGTAACTGTACTACTGTGGGAATGGAGAAGTTCATAGAAGACCATACTTGTAATGAGTTCTGTGAATTAATGGGTTTGTCAGTCTTGTCGAGTTAAAGAAGAGTACTCGCAAACCAGTTAATTAAACAAAAACTATGCAAACAGTGAATGACATAAACTGGCACTTTTATCACTTTATAAATGCAGTTTTGTTTATTTTGGTTATAGTCATGAAATATTTGGAATTATATTTGCTTATTTAACAGCAAACTTTAGCAATTATTGTTCACACTTATTATTTACATAGTTATGTTTTTATCAATAAACACCACTTTACTGCTATTAAAATTAATGTTAGTGGAATTTATCATGTTTAATGTAATGCTTTGATTGTATAAGAATAACTTAATACATTTTCAGTGGTTTTTGTTATGATATCAAGTATTCAATCAGCTCAACCAATTATAAAGTATGAAACAAAAACTGAAAAATGAAAGCATCTTCAAAACCCAAGATATGGACTAAAGCAAGACATAAATTTGATGGATATATTTCGATCATATTACATAATTATCATAATAGGATAATAATAATAGGGTAATCATCATAATGGAATAATTAGGTAACAGGATCGAAATATAACCATTTAAGTTTACATCTTGCTTTAGTCCATATCTTGGGTTTTCAAGATGTTTTCATTTTTGTTTTTTTTGTTTTATACTTTATTTTCATAAAATGTCGGCTGGTTCTGGCTTTTCAACCAAACATGTTCACCTCATTAAAGTCCAACAATTTTCCATTACCAGTGAAACAGTCTGGTATTAGACAATGCAAAATTACAAAATAAGGCCATTAATTAAGATGCTTTGCTGTTTACTTTAATGAGTTAACCAGTGTCATTCTTTGGTTATGAGCTAATTTATAATCTCAAATTTCCTACTATACTGCCACTAAGCTTGTGCAACCATTATTCATTTGGAATGTTTCTAGCCACGGTTTCTATTTTTAAATACAATTGGTACTAAAATTATTGATAATGGGCTTTGAGGAAAATATAGGCATCAGCAGCATCCATGGGTTTCACACCATCTATGTCTGGAATAATTCGTTCACACTCCGCTCTTACATTGGGAGATAAAAAGTCCTCTCCAACGGTCATGACACTTGATAATTGTGCCGCCTCATCTAGCGCCTCTTTAGTGACAGGTAATCCTAAAAAGAATATGTTTTTATATCAAAAAGCATTTTTATTTTTACATGATTAAGCAACACTCAATTTCGCCGATTTTGATATAAAGCTTTCTATAATCTTCGAGGAGACCATATCATCCTGTTTAATTTTTTTTCATCTCACAACAATGAAGTGGGGATGAGTGTTTACAGCCTGTTTCAGCCTGATCTCCCTACAAATATTGTCACTGATGTATTACATATGTACAACACAGAAATGCTTGTAAATTAATATACTTTCAGTCTGATCTAAAAGGGAATAAGAGTGGAATCAATGATATATTAAAACCAAGTTGTACACAGCAGCTGAAATTTTTGTATAAGAGAAGTGTGAACATGTCAGGGAAACTTTTGAATATAGCTGTTCAGATGTGATGGCAGGACTCCTGAAGCCTGTGTAGGCAATTAAATTTAACATAATGCAGTTTTAAGAATGATATGCTGGGGTAATCGTAACCACACTTTAGTTGGAATTAATGTCTCTAACACTAACAATAAGATGACTTGATATGCCAATGTACATTAATTAATGAGGTAGTTAAAATTTTGTTCGTTTTCCGTACCACATTCCTCAGCCCCATAGTTTTCTGGAAATGAATACAAATGATTAGGGATCCCCTTAGGCATTTGTGCATCTTTCTGACTTCTGACCCTGTGAGAATTCCATATAGTTTCTCTGAATACGTTCATCTCCTTTTGAATAACAGGAATGAAGATAAATGCAAGCAGATCCCTGTTAAAAAAAGAATAATTTAACATTTAATAGATAGAAGCTATGTTTTTTTAAATTTTTAAAAAAGTTGTCTATCTACTGTACTAAATAAACACTGTACCTGTCAGACTGGTTATGTGGATCATAATGTCCTCTTTCTAATAGCATCCTCAGTTGCCGTTTGAAGAATTTTTCAAAACGCTGATGCAGCTCACGCCACCACCTTTCAATCTGTATTATTAAAAAACATCCAATTTACATATTATTATTAATTTAAACATCCAATTTAGCCTTGGAAGGTTAGTTTAAATGGAACAAGAGGAGTCCAATTGAACCTGCTGCAAGGCATGCAGGGGTGCCTTAGATGCCCCAAGTCAAAAACTACAATCTAGAGGAATTGAAATGAAACAGCCAGAGTATAATATTATTAAGGTATATGGTACAGTATTTTTCTCCAAATTTGTATCTTTGTTGATTTCTGAGCACAATTTCATGCAGTATAAAACTGTTTTTGGTGCAGAATCCATATTCCTACTTCTTTCCAAATTCCAACATAATGTATTTCGGATTTTGTTACAACAGTTTGTTATACACCAAGAATAATAAAGATCTCAACAGAGATTTAGGCTCTAACAATGTTTGTTTTGCTTTTTAAAGCTGTCACATAAAAGGCCTCTAAAGATCCAAGCAACAAACAATTTCACCTTGTTGCTTGTGGAAGGACCATAGTGCACTGTGTCAACAGCATCCTGATTTGCTTGTCCATCTCCATGTGTTTGTCTCAAAAATGCATGAATTGTAGCCATTTGGCCAGTCTCGGTCCCCTTATCTAATCGAAGATTCTTACCGATCACTGAAACATAAAAATGTACAACTTATTTGCACCATTTCATAATTCACAATATTTTCATACAAAAGTACACACCTGCTGTTAAATGTAACAAAAAGTTATCTTCTCCGCTTCATTAGTGACAAACCATTAGAAAAGTGGAGGGGGGGGGGGGTTCAGCTTGCATGAATTGTTTTCAGCCTTCAGCTTATCAAGGAATTTTTTTGTAGAATTTTTTTTACTTTTATTTGCTTTCCTCCTTGCGCAAACTTTTTTCTTTAAATTTTCCCCTACACAATTTGTTTCTGCCCCCCCCTCTCATTACCTTTCAATGGTTTGTCACTTATTAACTTATTAACTTATATGCAGTTCTCATTGAAAATTACCACTAGTCTACAGGTATTAGAATTTTAACGACAAGTAGTTGAAATTTACCCCACTCAATGGAGGCTTTATCCCAAATTATATCTGCTTAAACTCCCTCATTTTTAAACTGGCGAGAACAGCATTTTGAGTATATAATAATATTGTAAATCATGATTGGCCAATCGGTGGAATTGCATTAGTGTATATTCACACCTCTTGTTTGATAAAGGTGCTCCAAATACCAACGCCCGATTAGTTTAGGATCAGAGTTAGAAGTCCAAAGCTTTAAATACAAAATGTAACCACTGAACGCATCTTGAAGTCCATATACTGCCAAAGGGAAAGTGTAGTTCATGTAATCCATTAGCTTGTCATGTCCGTCGCCAGAGTGAGTGTGGTTGGGTCCCTAAATAAATTTGCAAGACAATCAAATGTCAAGGTTATTGTGGTGTTCATTTGCAATCCACTTGAATGAAAAATATCTTACCAATGATGTAAATGTTCCAGTTTGTCCACGGTGACGTTTCTTTCTCCCTACATTACTTTGACGTTCTAGACCTTCTGGGTCAACCAGAGTCATAACGTCATAAACTACGCCACGTGGTACAGCTAAATTATGCTGTTCTCGTAACTTTTTGTGCATTGACCTATATCCAAGCAATTGCCCTGGCCCATCAGTTTCCTCTCTGACAGCTGTCTCAACTGCTTCCAAATCGGTACCATAGTCGATATATTTAATATTAAAATGAGCCATCCTTCGACTAAGCGTTGTTAAACTCCACGCGTATTGTGGATAATCTCGTTGCACAAAGTCTAAAAGTTCTTTGCGACTCAGGTTTTGCAATACGTACCGCTGGATATCCGATTTTAAATCTTCATCAGTCTCCCAATCTGGATTTCGAATTCTGTTATTCATAGTTGCAGTTTTCTATGAACAAATACCCGTCAACTTTCGGCACAAATTCTCTTCTTATAGTTAATATTTCTTCTTTTTTAAATAAAAAAAACTCGACAAATACACAGTCTCACAGAGTTTAGGATGCATGCCATGAGTGATCTCAACGGTAACAATACTTCATTTATGCATATCATTTTGTCCCGAAGGGGGCGGCCGCTGACCAACGATATCCTGGGCTATGGAAACGCTGGGCCATCACAACATTCGAAATTGATTTTTGACATGTTTCGATGGCCCATCGTTATCATAGCAAAATACAAATCAAATTGAAAATCAAATGTTTTGAAATTTTCAAAGTTGTTTTCTTAATCGGTTTTTTATTTTATATTTTTTATGTTTTAGTGCCTTTAATTGTTTTTTCAGTTTTTCATAAATTTATGAATTTGTTTTCTGTTCGATTTTTTTTCTTTTTTTTTTCTTAATTTATTTTTTGTTTTTGGTTTAAATTTTACTCAAATATTTTTTCTATATTTTTATGTCATGTATTTTTTAAAATTTTAATTTTATATTGCTTTTATTAATTTTTAACTATTTTTTCACATCTTATTGTAAATAAAACAGGTATATCACTATGGTAACACTGGGCCACCATAGAACAGGCAAATTAGGACGAATTTCAACAGAAAACCAGTCTCAAACTTCAAATCATGAGGGAAGTCGTGCGACCACATTAGGATTTATATTATGTGTGCTTCGCTGTCGCCATTGGCATTGTTATAAATAAATTGTCTCACTCATCAGATCGTGTGTGCAATTCTTGTTGGCGGCGGAAAGTACGAAATTTATTTCATTTGGTAAAGCACTCTACAAACGAAGAGAGCGTTCCGAGTCCAGATCGTTTCGTTTCAAACGGCAATTTAATACCGCCTTCTGTTTCGCTCCCTCAGAGAAGCCTTGTAAATCGCAAAGTGTTTCGAATAGGCTTACAGTCCTTACATGCAACTGCATCTCAACATCAACCAAAAGATAATTTTCTTGAGGAAGTGAGAACACATAACGTATCAACTGAAGTCTGTTTGAAATTAATTAAACTCAAGTAAAGGTTACTATAGTTTACCCCAGTCGTAATTTGCTATTCCAACACCTCACGACAAGCAATCCCCATTGGCATAACGGCAAAAACATGTCTTCCTTCAAGTAAACAATAAACAGTCTGTTCTTGTTCATTTGTAATCGAAAAAAGTGATCAATTTTCAAATTTTAAGCTTATCGAGAGCCTTTGTCTATGCCTTTGTGATGAATCACTGTTCCCTTGGGCCTGCACGCTAGGTTAATTAATTACCGATCGCCTCAGCTAGCCAATGGGAATTTAGCCGGTGGTTCGGCCGGCGAAAATCGAAAACATGGGGTGATGGTTGCAGGCCCACTATCAGTTCCCTTGGGCCTGCACGCAGGCTACCGAAGCATGAACAAGCGAAAAGATGGAACGTTTGTAAGCAATCTCAAATCGTTTCAAGACCTCGTTTATGCAGAAAATTTGGATATCGTATCAGTAACTGAAACATGGCTGAATGATAATGTCAGTGACAACGAAATACTGCCTTCTGGGTACAACATCATTAGAAAAGATCGCCCTTCTAACAAACGTGGAGGAGGTGTCTTATTAGCATTGCGTAACGGAATACAGTATAACAGAGTTGCTTCAGCGACTTGGTCTGATCATCTAGAAATTCTTGCGATTGAACTTCTAACTGCAAAACCAAATAAGTGCCTTCTGTGTGTCTGTTACAGACCACCGAACAGTGATCTCAACGATTGGCTTGATCTTTTTACGTCTTTTCTTCAAGTTGCTGAAAAGTATGAAAAGATACTTATTACTGGGGACTTCAATTTTCCTGATTTAATTTGGAACTGTGATAATGCTTCCCAAACTCTTTCAGCCAGCTCTATACAATTTCGAGATCTTATACAAGACTTTTTTCTGGAACAAGTTAACCCGTTTCCGACTAGATCAAAGAACATCCTTGATCTTATCCTCACTAACATTCCTGAATCAGTCACTGATATCTCGTGCGTATTACCAAAATCAATGGACCTCTTTAGTGACCATAATCTCCTTTTTTCCGAATTCAAAGTATTCGCCAAGTTATCTTCCTCTGACACGCGAACTGTTCTGGATTACCGTTCAGCAGATTGGGAGGGTTTGCATAGAACTCTTTCATCGATAAATCTCTCTCCATCGACAGTTTCAGATAAATTGGATATCGACGAAATCTGGAAACAATGGTACGATGGTTTTATGAATGCTGTGTATCGTCATATTCCGACCAAAATCCTTAAGAAACGCAAATCTCCTCTTTGGTTTGACAGTGAAATCCACCACCTGTTAAATAAAAAAGAAACGGCTAGAAGAAAAGCTAAACTGAAGAGCTCGAGTCACAGTCTGTGGGAAAATTTCCGACACCTTCGACGTTCGTGTAAGTCACTTATAACTCGAAAGCGAAAAGAATTCTTCCAGTCTTTGCCTGATGTTATGAAATCAAATAAGAAACGGTTTTGGTCGTTATTCAAATCGGTTTCAAGTTCATCAAGTGTTCCCAGCAAAATTATCTGGAAGCGCGATGATGGAACTGTTACAGCAACAAATCCGGAAGAAACTGCAAATCTCTTAAACAACTATTTCTATTCTATGTTTAATCAACCTCTTTCCCAAGAAGATTACGATGCTCATCCAGTCCCGAACACAACATCCTGCAATCCATTAGGTGATATCACAATTTCACCTGATGATGTTAGACGTATTCTTCTTTCTCTTGATGACAACAAAGCTACAGGTCCAGACAGAATTCCAGCTACATTGCTCAAATGTTGTGCTCCATATATATCTTCATCGCTTAGTGATCTCTTCAACAAAAGTTTGAGTTCGGGCAAAATCCCAGCAGAATGGAAGATCTCCAACATAATACCTATTCCTAAATGTGGTGTAAAGAATGATGTTTCGAACTTCCGACCAATATCTTTACTTCCCATAGTTTCTAAAGTCCTAGAACGTTGCATCTATGATCAAATTATCAATCATTTGTCAAGTCAGCTGCATAACCTTCAATTTGGGTTTCTCAGGGGGAGGTCTACCGAGTCACAGCTGCTGCAAGTTCTTCATGAAATTGGGAAATCGTTTGACCAAAGAATCCAAACTGATAGTCTTTATCTTGATTTCTCAAAAGCCTTTGACAAAGTTGATCATAAGCTTCTACTCAAAAAACTAAGTAACTTTGGAATTTGTGGAAACCTGCTTAATTGGTTTCAAAATTACCTTACAAACCGCCATCAGAAAGTCACCGTCCTAGGCAAGACATCGTGTCCAATTCCCATACTATCAGGTGTTCCTCAAGGCTCAATACTTGGACCTTTGTTGTTTCTTATGTACGTGAATGACTTACCTCAACAGACCACGTCATCGTCCGTAGCCCTGTTTGCTGATGACACCAAGTGTTATCGTGCAATAAGTAAAGCCCAGGACGTTAGGGATCTCCAGTGCGATTTTGATAAAATTAACAAGTGGTGTCAAGTATGGCGTATGACCCTAAATCAGTCTAAATGTGGTGTTCTCACAGTGACAAGAAATGTAATTTCTGTTCAGTCATCCTATCACTTGATTAATGATGATCATACTAGCACCTCACTGATCAAGAAACTAGCTGTACAAAGAGATCTCGGCGTTTTGAGATTTCAAATGGAGCAAACAAGTTAATGCTGTATGTACAAAGGCCAACAGAATGCTGGGATTCATAAGAATGACTTCAGCCGACATACGCGTTCCACGTATAAGAACCGCACTGTATAAAACATTAGTTCGAAGTCACTTCGTGTATAGCTCACAAGTCTGGTCACCACAATCTGTAGCACTTATCCTTGATCTCAAGAAAGTACAACGGCGTGCAACAAGGTTTATATTATCCTTATCGTTTCAGTCTGAAACCAATTATAAAGATCGGCTGCTATTAACAGGGTTACTGCCCTTGTGCTACTGGCATGAGTACCTGGATTTGGTATATTTCTTCAAAGCTCTGAAGTCAAATGATCCAAACATTGTTATGAAGTCTAGTAGTCGTGTTACGAGACACAATTCAACTAAAAGTATTTCAACTAACGTTTTTAGAGTAAACACTTTAACTTTTCAAAATAGCTATTTTAATAGAGCTCCTAGAACATATAATTGCTTGCCATCTTATATCCGTGACGCTGACGTCACAATTGGCCAATTCAAATCATACTTGTTGAAATATTATCACGAAATGACTGAACTTATATATGACATTAATGTACCACAATCGTTTAAAACTGTCTGTGTTAAATGTCACTCGTGTCGTCCTTTGTCGAGCCTTGTAGATAAAATGTGTTGTAATTGAAGTAAATGTTTAGTTTAAGGGACCCTGTGAATGGGGCAATAAGCCCTGTAGGGATCACCAGTCATTTATGACAAAGCTAGTAAATAAATAATTATTCACATTGAATGTTTTTGACCACATCCAAAACAACAGTATGTTGAATATTATGCTGCACTTGTGCAATGTTTTTAATCATGTTGCATTTCATGTAACAATTGTAAATATTGTTCTATTCATGGTCGTTGATTTAAGCTTTCGAACAATTCTGTTCAATGATGTTATGCAAGTAAAAATGATTGTATTGTTTTATGACTTTCATTTTTACTTCTCTTCTCGACACTTCACTTTCGCCAACCGAATGCTGAGCTTAATTGCAATCCAGAGAAAATACACGATCTTGTTCATATTTACAAACACTTGCCTTGCTCACTGAATTTCTTCGCTAGTGAAGCTTTCATCTTTCGACCAAATCCATGTTGAGATCCATGTCATGTTCAATGATATTAATATTATACGAGGACAAATGCATGTTCATTGATATTATACGAGAACAAAGTACTGAGCTATACCAGTGATACAAATTTTTGCATAGTACCTTAATATTGAACGGAATGGACTTCTTCCTATAAATTTTCTTGTAATTTATAAATAGAACAAAAAACTACTTTGATCTAAATATAAAAGCGTAAAATTTATTGACATGCTGTTTAACGGAACAATGTTTTGCTGCCCGTTGTTCACACTTGTCAACAATATTGTTGAGCCTGAACTGGGTATAAAAATATTGTTCAATATTGTTGACAAATGTGAACATGTGCGCAGCAAAACATTGTTCAATCCTGTTTGTTGCAACAACCTGATCGTCTTTAGCTGTGTAATTTGATATCAGTAAATAAGCGGCATGCTATGTACTTTGTGTTGTAAAATGTCAAAGAATTGATCACGTGGTTGCATGCTATCGTCCTTCTCAAACTCCACGATGGCAAAGCGGTATACTGGTAAAACCAGTATATGCAAAAACTTTGCAATTCATTTAATTTTATATACGAGAATCAAAGTCTTAACGTTATTGGTTAATACTGTAATAGCGGTAGCCGTAAATTCAAGCACAAAACGTATATATTATTCCTCAAAAAATATTCAGTACGATGACCGTTTCCTTTCTTTTTGTTATTTGAATCAAAAATTATATTATCCTGTTTGTAAAATTTATTGTTTTGATGTATGGCTATCTATTGACGAAAGTTTATAAAAAATATTTTTTAAATCTTGAAGTAATATAAAGTTGAGGAAGAAAAACTTAAAGCCCTAAAATGTTTGGGTAAACCGAAAAAATAGCATGATATATTTTTTCAAGCTATCTATATATATACAGTTGCCAGTTAATTGATATAAACCTTGTTTAATCTTTAGTATGTATCAATTAAAATTTCTTTTATTAATAAAGGTCGATCCATATCCGTAATTCTTTAGCTTTTCAAGCATTTTTCAAAGGTTGAAAATCACCATCCTGTGGATAACGCTATTCAGCCTTCGTACAACCGGGCCCAGGTTTCTCACATTAGCTACACGTCTAGCCATGAGTATATCTGATTAGTGTTTCATATACTTATTTTATGTTTAACAGGATGTTGATGAATTTAAAAACTACAAGATTTTTATGTCAACTATATTCAAACTGCTTGGTTCTAACTCAACCATTGACGAAGAAGTGAATCGCATTGTTGATTTGGAAAGAGAATTTGAAGATGTATGGATTTCTGACAAGAACCTTAATTCCCACTTCTGCTTGTGTACTCTGTTGTCATAGACTCAATTTTCTTCTGTCATACTGTTGCGGTCACCAAAGAAACACGTTGATAAAATTCGAATTCAAATTCACATTCAAATTCAAATTCATTTAATTTAATTTAATAGTTTTACCTTGTTATGTCACAGAACCCCAGGCTATATAGTTGGTTATATTTTTAGCCTGCATATAGCATTGAGCCGTCGCGCCGGCGTGCCTGCCTCTTGGGGTTAGATACTTGATATTAATAATAGAAGGAAGGAGACGTATAACGCCCCAAATAGCCCAGACTTGCATATGGAGCCCAAAATGCATTTTATTCAAATTTAATCGATATTCCCGGCAAGAATGATAACATACAACTCTCAAAATAAAGATGCTTTAACCAAAGGGCTTATATTCGCTTCAAAATCCGCAAAGGAACGACAAAATTCGGCCAAAAAACATGCGAGGCATGTAGCTGCTGTGCAGTAAACAGGAAGTCGATAAGCTACTAAAGCCAAATCGAACCTGATTGGACAACGAATTTATAAACATATTCAAATATATGCATGTTCGGAAATATATGTTCAAGCCGTCAGGAGCATAAAGCCGTGGTGTGATGGTATCGCGATTTTAAATTTTAGAAAATAATTTATGACATATTCTATTTATGGTTAATTAATCTCACAGATTTTTGATATTCTGCAAGTAGTTTATCAACGTCTGGTGAAAATTTTAATTCTTTTCGTTCCATTTCTCCATAATTTGGTATAACCGCTACAGCAATACAGAACAAAATCAGTAAATGACAACAGACTACAAAAGCGGAAGTGTGTATACAATATATGTACATATACAATGTGCGGATTTTTAAAAGCCAGTCATTGGCCTTCAGTGTGTAGGCTATGTTAATCAATTTTCTAGACAGTAGATTGGCAAGATTATGGACCCAAATAGGAATTGCCAGCACGATGGCACCCCAATCATTGTTGCAGAACTTGCAGTGGAGAGTTTTTTGTAATACCATAAAGGATGTTTATCATACTTTTTCAGGTCAAAGAAACGTTCGACCCGAGAGACGTAAAAAATCTTAAAAAGAATATCAAATTTATGACACTTGATGAGTTGAATAAATTCACTTCCGGCAAGGTAAGGTTTGCAACTATATGTAGTGATAAAACACGTCCTACTTGTGTTTTGATATTCATGCTCATTTACATCCATTGTTCTTCTATTGTACCACACTTTAAATCCCTCTCCGGAATAAAACACCAGTACACCATTTTGATACTTACGTCCCAAATCTATCCTTGACTCGGAAGCCTCATTCTCGTGAATCGTGAACGACTTCAGCCTTTTGCTTTGGCTCTTATAATAGAGAGTTTACCATCTACGACGCGGCCGGATCAACAACGCGCTTTCGAAACAAAGAAATTTGTCATGCAAGACAAAAACTGTGAATAATTTATGGTCCCAAGGGTATTCTCAACACAACATTAAACTATGCATTACCATGTTTTTCAAGCAACGTGAAAGCTTATTGCGACCTAAAGCCGGTTTTCCACTTGCGAATTTTTTCGCGCGAAGCGAATTTTTCGTTTGTCTTTGGTCTCTCAACTGGAACCATGTCGAAAGAAAAATTCGCTTCGCGGGAAAACTGATTTCGCAAGTGGAAAACCGGCTTAAGAGGTTATTTAAAGTCGGCGAAATTACAGCGAACATTAGATTGCATTAGACGGACTTAGCCGTTTGTAAGATTATTTGAAAAAGTTTATTACAGTAAACAAATTTATTTATTGCTTAGCGCTCATTCTTGAGCTGAAATTCAGACAGCGTTGTTGAGCCAGTCGCGTCCTATATATCTTAAACTCTCTAATTATAAGAGCAAGCATTATTGCGTCATAATTCTGTGGGTGATTATGAAGGCCCTCCTATAATCTAGGTTTACTTACCATTCCTTATACTTCAATCACCACTTTCTAGTTTAATTGGACAGTGTATTTTGAGGAAATACTTAATGGCACAAAGGTATCGATTCCGTCAAACCTAAAATTAATGATACTACTGCCCAATAATGTTAAAAAGATTGTTGATTGGATTACCGCAAAACCAAAGAGGTGAGCAACAAACCATGCATGTATATTGCAAACATCGTTATGATATGCCTATAGATATTCACGTTATTTAGGTGATACTAGTATGGCGGTATTGTTTTAAAAGTTAACCGGTGTAGCTACCATTATTATCAGTGCCTTTGTTAAGAAATTTCTATTGGGGCAGGGGACAAAGGAAAAATAAATTCTTTAAAATAGGAAAATGCGGGCCGTTATCACTGATTCACTGATCGGCAGGTTCACTGATCTCAAAATTATGGCTGTTTGCCAGGAATGTGATAATTTTGTTTGCAAAATGACAATAATTTATTTACTGTGGGAAATCGTGAAATATGTTTAATGTTTATGAATTCTGTTATTTCAATTTTTTTGCCTACAACTTGCATTGCTTTCCTTTCATGAAGCTGCCAGTTTTCTAAATTACGCTATTTAATTTGGAGAAAAAAAATATTTTATTTTACCGTGGGTTGAACCTTTGGGAAGTCATATTAGATGAATTATTGCAACGATTTTCGTTTTGCTTATATTTCTCTGAAGGTTTGGGTTGTTATAAAATGGGGCTGGCTGTCATTATGAGTTTTTGTTGTTGTCGCAAACGCGATATACTATATCGAGGCACCGCAGACTCAGATAATCTATGCAATTCGTGGAGTGGGCAAAATGTTTCAAACAATTTCGTTTAAATTTTCAAGGAATTGTACCTGTTTTTTTATGGATTTTGCATTGTGTCGAACTCTGGACTGCCTCGTGAGTTTAATTAATTAATGATCTTTTCTTTGTGCACGACTCCGAAATTTGGATCGTTGAATTTCTGTGAAATCATGAATTATAATATACTGAATATAAACGAGCCAAGAACAAGTTCAAGGTAAAAGATTAATCTAAAACTATACACAACATAGATTTAACAGATAACTACTATAATTGTTAAGTTTTGATATAGGTAATGAGAACGATACTAGCCCATATCACTAAAATATGTATGCAACAACAGTCCCTATAATAGGTAGCTATGCATGGAAACGTGAAAACTGTTGTGTGAAATATATGATGTTATATTGTGATGGCCTCGTGTTTTGGTCACAATTGACCAAATTTATGCCATGTGTGATAAAAATAGGTACAATTCTTGTATAAATGTGAACCCAAATAATACGTGAAAAGGTGTAGGCTATGGAACGAAAAGTTTAAATCATGGTATGTGAAAATCATAAGTAGAAACGGTCTATCAAAGTGCGGCCAGACGTTTTAGAGAATGGCCACGGTGTACTAAATAAAAAGCTTGTAAAAATAAACTAAAGAAGAGAAGGATCGAAATATTCATGTGTGTGTAATTCAGATATCTCAGTACGTGGCGTTTAATCCTTGATGGGCTCGTCGGCGACTCAGTGCACTAAGGTTTTATCGGAAAACGTTAAAACTGTTATAATTGACCTTCTTGCTATTTCTTTGTTTCGAGAAAATAATTTTACCTCTGGCAAGTGGGAGGGTCCTGAATGGGGGTCCCAATCCCATTTCCCACCTGAAATTTCCCACCTGAAAATTCCCATTCCCAGTGGCCAAATCCCAGTCCCAGCAACCCAAATCCCATTTTCCCAGTCTAAAAATAGATCAATCCCTGTTCCCATTTTACCCCTTCAGGGCCCTCAAGTGGCAACCAAATTTGTTTTGAGAAATTCTGGTCTGCAATGACATGCAACTAAAACATAACCCACAGCGTTATACCGGGTATATATAGGTCGCAGTCTTGCTTTATCGTGCGACGAAGCAAACCGCAAACGCCCCGAGCGGACGTCTGTTCATAATCACTTCGTTTGTGTTTAGTTCACTTATTACTCCGTCTGCATGCGTGTGTGCATTAGTCATTCTTCTGTGAGTTCTACTCATCGTTAGTATGAATTACCGGTGCTGAACATTCAATAGGTCTGTGCATGTTGTTGTGAACAACGTTTCTAGCGAGAATTGAGCCCAAACCACAGACTGTGGCGTAACTAGAGCGTTAATTGGGGGGGGGGGGGTATATTCATATATTCGTGTTCTGCCCGACTAATTTATTTTGAAATGAACTTAAGTTCAAAAGAAATTCGTCGGGCAGAACACGAATATATGAATATACACCCCCCCCAAAATTAACGCTCTATAGTTACGCCTCTGTCAGACCACAGTTTGTGTATTTTGCCAACCGAGGCAAGTGTGAAAGTGTGAGCAAGAGTCTTGTTTACTGTAGGTCACACATTTGCAGTATGCGCCGTATTGCGTTATTTACTACAATATTTTTCGAACGGAGCGATATTGTGGAATATACCGGTCCACTTTTGATAGCTTGTTAAACGAATAAATTTATTAAAAGATTATTTCAAAACTGTTCGTAATTAAAATTTAAAGATAGAACTCCAAGAATATGTTGCTTGCATGTAGTTAAATTCAATGCCGGAGTCTTTGAAGAACGAAGCATTTGAAATTGGCATTCTTTTCTCATTTCGCCAACGGTTTAGTGGACGGGTATTCTGCAATTTAACCTTTCGAACATCAGTATATTGAAATTCCAATAGCGCCCAAGTTTATACTTATATACAATTATGTATTATATAGACTGTTTAGCGGGCATCGGAGTTCGGTTTCAGGCCAAAATCTTAATATAATCGATGTCTACATGTACAGATATGTTTCACCAGCCTAATTGTATTTACTGAATTTACTTTTTGACTATTTCGGGGAAATTTTACTACTTGTTATATATATATATATATATATAATGAAATGTTGCTGATAACAAGATACAAGTGTTGTATATAGAAAAGGTTTCAATGTGCAACCAAAAGAGACATTTATAACGTAAAATAAAATAAAAGCCACTCAAATTTTGCACAAACGTTTTCGCTTTAATGTTAGCTCCTCAGGTGCATATTTACAATGAGTGGAATTTAGTTTATCTATTATCTACGTTCTATGATATCATATTATAATAACTATGTTAGGAATGCATATATTTACATGGTGTGAAGTCACCCGTTAAAAACATTCTATTGATCAAAATGTAAGCATAAACTTAATGGTTTTTTAATTAGCGTTCAGATCCGGATTCAGTATATTGATAAGTTCTTTTTCTTTCATCTCCCTGAAAAGTCTGTCCGTGTTAATGCATTGATATATAGGCATTATTTTGAAAATTCCGTTGTTACACATATTTAAGTGTTCGCTTACTTTTAGATGTCTATACTCTTCGTGTCGAATTTGTTCCTTGTGCAATGTCACTCTTTTTCGTAAGTTTTCTGTCTGGCCGAGGTAGAAGCTGTCGCATTTTGAGCAAATGATCACGTAAATGACATATCTCGCTTTGCAGTTCATCGTTGAATTGACTTTCCAGGTTTTTCCGCTCTTTAATGTAACAGACTTTCCTGTGATTAAAACATCGCATGTTCCACATCGCTTTTCCTCGCATTTTGTTACACAGTGTTCTCTGTCCTCTGAATTGAATTGTTCTTTTGTCAAGTATCGCTTCAAGTTCTTCGGTTGGCGTTTGCTTACAATGAGTTTTGTTCTGTCTAATACTCGTTTCATTTTCTCGGAATTGTTTAGAAATTTAAAGTTCTCCCTTATTTTTCCAATTACTTGAGGATTGTTGGGATTGTGAGTTATTACTAAAGGCAAGACATTGTCATCAGTTTTATGTTTTGGTGCCCTCAATTCCTCAATGTTTTTTGATGAAGCCTTCTGTATTCCGTTTTTTATAAGCAATTTCGGATAGTTCTGCTTTTGTAGGAAATATTCTAGTTCATCAAGACGCTTCTTCTTTAAATCTTGATTTGTTACAATTGCACAGATCCGTCTTGCCAGTGTGTAGGGAATGTTTGATTTTGTATGTCCAGGATGACATGAATGATAATCCAGATATATATATATATATATATATATATATATATATATATATATATATATATATATATATATATATATATATATATATATATATATATATATATATATATATATATATATATATATATATATATATATATATATATATATATATATATATATTAAGATGAAAATGTTCTAGAGTGTGTATTATATAATTTCCATACCCAGCGCAAGCAGAAAGATGTTGTCTACCGCGGCTGGGTCTTGAACCCGCATATATATATATATATATATATATATATATATATATATATATATATATATATATATATATATATATATATATATATATATATATATATATATATATATATTTATTTTACTTCAGTGTTTTAACTCCTTTCTTGGAGTACATTTTTATCCGTTATTGGGGTAAAAACTAGTCCTTGGCGGAAACCAAAAATAGGCTATTCCTTTGAAGATAAAAATACTGCAGTAAAATTCACTCCAAAGAAGAAGTCATTCTGTACCTTGCAGTTAAAATGACTGCCCAAAATTAACAGTGCGAATCCCGTGAATTGATTTCTTCTTGTTTATTTTAGTCTATTAGCCAATGACATAATTTGGAATGTTATTCGAGGCTTGATTAATAATCTACCAGTGGCATTTAGAGCAGCACAGGATAAATATAGACAACGTTGTTATACTCCCAGATGGAGGACATGTAATCTTTTAACAGACAAATATTTTACATTCGCTACAACTCTACTGTATGTGAATAAACATTTGCCAGAAGATGCTAGAAAAACGGTAAGATATGTATGTTGTCCAGTGTATCTACAGTAGTATTGCGCAATGACGGCCACATTGGTTTGACACATGGGAAGAGTTAATTCTTGCAATTTACGGCTTCTGGTCAGGGGCTAAACTTGAGGTGGGGGAGGGGGGTATGGGGTGTGACACCCCCCAAAGTACGAATCATCTGGATTGGCAGGGCAAATCATCTGGATTGGCAGGGCAATCAAAGATTTTAAATGATAGAATGTAGAGTTATTAATTAAGTACCTTACAGGGCTTCCAGAGGGAATTGAATATAGAATTTATAAACCTAAATTTTACAGACATTGGGCGAAAAAATTTTTTCCGGAAAAAATTTTTTGACCCTTAATTGAACTGGGTTATGTCCGGAAAATTTTTTTCAACCCCTCCCCGCTCGTCAACATTTTTTTGAAAAATATTGGCCAAAACAAAAATTTCCTGTAGGGCATCATCGGCTTTCGCAGGGCAATTCTAGCAGACACCCCCTAATTAAAAGAGGCTAGTTTCTCCCCTGCTTTTGGTGGGGAAAGAAACATATTGTCTAGTTAGTAACCATGATGGGCATCAATATGGCTTCCTCTTTTTCTTCTGAATTTGCCACTGAATAACTAGCAAGCTCACCAGCTTCAATATGACAATCTCAAGTCTCGTTAGAACGCACTAAAACATGTTTGGGCATCTACATCTTTCCCAGTACACAGGAAAAACATTTTGCCTAAAAACACCCCAAAACTTGAACGATTTAAAAACATTTTCTAATTATGAATATTCAAAAATAGCTCATTTAATTTCAAAAAGATTTTCTATCCACTACTATACAATATAGATAGTTGCGTGATGATTGGTTTGGAATTATCCAGTGCATGGAGACAGTTATCAGGCGAAGCTGAAAGCTTAAAGCTTGATAATTTAGGATATCACACAATCGAATTCGATATTTTTTTATACACACTGTGTTGTATAAGTTCTAGTTGCATAGTAGCCCAAATGCTGTCGTGCGCGAAACATTGACGCCATTATAATATTTAGGATAAGCTCAGATTACACGTATATAGTTGCGACTATAATAAGTTGATTTTTATAGGCGGTAGAGATGTTTACAGAGATAAAAGGTCAGTTCGTTGACGGCTTGAAAGAACAAACATGGATGGATCCTGGAACCCGGGCTCAGGCTCGTCTTAAGGTTAGTGGCACGAAGGTTATCATGGGCAAGGTATACGAAATATTAGTGGTCAGCACTTGTATGAGCATTTTTTCGGAGAGGGGCATTCGGGTTTAAGTGACTTTTGGGTTCAAATTATTGATAGTACTGATGTTATCAACCCTAAGGGAAAGGGAAAGTTATTGGATAGAGAAAATCAATTGTTATTGTCCATTGCATGGGATTAAACATGAGGGAGAAAAGTAATTACCATGCATAGTTTAATTTATGTAAATTTTGAGTATAAAGGACTATAAAAACTGTGGACAAGGCTTTGTAAGGTAATTTGATCGTTTCTGAAGAAGGGGCGTGCCCCCTATGTTATGTTATGTTATGTTATGTTGTGTTATGTTATGTTGTGTTATTGTTCATGCACTCCGTAATATGATAGGTAGAAAATGTTCTCGAGTGTGTATTTCATAATTTCCATACCCAGCGCAAGCAGAAAGATATTGATATTATTATTTATTTCATTTTTTTTTATTATTTTATTTATTTATTTATTTTTTTTATTTGCCGCGGCAGACAATATCTTTCTGCTTGCGCTGGGTATGGAAATTATGAAATACACACTCGAGAACATTTTCTACTTACTTGTCACATATGAGTGTTTTCGTTCTATACAGCTGCAGAAAATGACGGATGTGATTGGTTTTCCATCGTTTATTAAGGATCCTGCGACACTGAACGCGGTTTATGGATATGTGAGTTTTGAATCAAAACTGATTGCATAATATTCTACCGGAAGCTTAATAATTCGTTTTAGCTAGTATATATCAAGCAAAATGCCATCTGGTATGTGGCGTAGCAATATGCTACATGTTTCCTTAATTTAACAATTATATGTTTGATGTTTCATTACTTTCAGTTTATCAATTTTTCATCTATCTGAAAGAATTAAATTCTACGAAGGTCAAACGAAGTATTTAATTCGACTGGGTTGGTCGCATAGAGCCCCGTGCAGACGAGCAAATTTTTCTTGACAAGTTTACTTTATCGCGTTAACGCTCAACAAGTTTTTCTTGACAAATTTTGTTGGTCGTGTGCATAGAATACATTTATCTCACCTCAAAGTCGCCTTTTGTTTGCCAAAACCATAGCATTGACACAAAATTTTTTTGTCTATTGAAAGTGCTCATTCAGTATGGTGTTGTAGCGAAAGAATTTTTTGATTTCATCGAAACGAAAAATTTTTAGAGCCGTTTGAACACGCAAAATGTGGGCTTTTTGTTGGCACGCGTCCGTGTTCGAAGGAAACTGGAACGAGCGATTTTTGTTACGTCACGCAAGTGAGTCGGCGTATTCTATAATTTATTCGACTGGTACTAACTCTTGGCGCATATAGTCCATATACAAATATACTAGATTTGTGATCGAAAAATATATGCCTTTTTACTATGTTGCAGCTAACTGTACCAATAAACCATGTTTAAAAGATGGAATAAGTTTACACAATATTCCATACTTCAATAACGAACGCGCGGAAGCTAAAAGACGAAGAAAAGTATGGGTTGGTAAGTTGGTTCTGTATCCGCAAAACGTTTGTTTGTGCCGTCAAAGCTAGACTTCGACTATATGCTCGGATCAGTTTTGACCAGAGGATTACGAGAGGCGATTCTTTTCGTGTCTTTCGTTGACGGGGCTCGGCAAGCCTAACTATCCGAAGCTATTAAAGACTGACGATAATTTGCTTTGTTTTGATGATTCAATTTCGGTTTTACGGGCCCCCTAATAATATAAATATTTTGTAATACCGAAATAAAAGATGCAAATCTGAAGACACAAGCTTGAAAATAACACTCTAAATAGTGTTTTCGATTCCGGTTCGAATAAGACTATTGCGAAAAAGATATTTCCAAAGGGGCCGAAGTTATGTTCGGCGAAAGATATGACTAGTTTACATTGTTCGAGACTATAAATTGAGTAATATAATGAATTATGACACCGCTCATACCGCTTGACCTATCAAAGACAAAGGTCATAAATAGCTATACCATCTGACTAAAACTATAGCCTGTATCTGACTAAAAGTCTAAAACTATCGCTGGGAATTAGGAGATTTTGTTTCACTGAATCGAGTCGTAGAATTTTTGTCTTCATAGCATGCACCGAACCGGAGATATAAACCTTTCAAAGTCATAGAACGTCTACGTTAGCACTTAGCAGAGAGCCAAGCAAGGAGCTTAACATGCGCCAAATTTGAGACGCAGACGCGACTATGGGAGACTAGTTTTATTTTATTTTTCTCGTGTCCCTAGCTTTGTTTACCAACAACAATCCATAGTTTTACCCGTGAAGTGAAATTGTGATAATAGCGGCAGTTTTTCGTCACGTCCGCGTCGTATAGATTTGGTGGTTTTAATGATAATACTAGGGACCTGGCGAGATACTACAGATCAGCATCTTCCAACACAACATATTAACCAGGTATAAAATTCGCACTGGAATCATCGGACTGATCGCTACTGTCGGATTCTGTTGTCGACATGTACATGATACTTTATAGAACCATGATAGAACTTAGAATATAAAAACACTTCAGCCGTTCAGCGATCAATTAAACCTTCGAGCTGATCAAATGATCAAAACTGATAATAGTCTAACGTCAAGATTTGACTCACTTGCGTGACGTCACAAAAAATGCTATCCCCAGACTCCTGTAGCCGACGTCCATGGGCCAAACATTTTTGTGTTTAAACCGCTCTAAAATTTTTCCTTTTTAATGAAATCAAAAAATTCTTTCACCAAAACACTCCACATAATGTGTACTTTCAATACACAAAAAATCAATTTTTGTGTCAGGTGCACTTTAAGCTTTTCTTTGTTATGGCCGTACACACGCGCGATCACATTTTACTTCACCAAGGAAACAACACCGTGGAATTGGAAACTAGACGGTCCGTAGATGCCAGCTCATGTTTTGGCCGAGGTGGATATCAAGGGCAGTTGGACGAAGGTCGGATAGCGCAATCCAATGGATAGTGATTTTTGAAACTTTTAAAAAAAATCCTGGAAAGCTGTAACTCTAGAAAGTACGAATCTGGATTGCAAAATAAATCTGAAACAGTTTAATTTCTAAAATTTTGACTTCAATCTGCAGCATTATACCGTGCATGCATGGATAATGAAAAAACACTGGATAGGAAACTCATGATCACGCATGAAGTTTTCAGATTGCTGATTGCGTCTCAGCCTTGTTGAAAATTATGACATCACTAAATTCAAAATAATTCCACGTTTAGCAATAATACAACTGAGAATTTTGTCAAAAAACGTACGAATATACATGCAACCATGCCACTCCGTAGATTATCTAAAATGTTATTGGTCATTTTCAGGGAACATATTAAGCATTTAGACGGTGAAATACTCGTCAGAAATTTCCAATATATCAACAGTAGTTTTTGCGACGCCAATTTCTTAATTACGAAAGTAAAAAACTGAAACAAAGACCAGCAGCGTCTACCTCGAATATACTTTGTCGTGGCACGTACAGCAGGTTTAAAAGACAATGAAACCATTTTGAATCTCAATATATACATGTAGCTGCTTGAATGCGGAAAATATAGCAAAAAGGAAGAAAAACGCAGTAAATTTCACTATATTCGTCCTACTCGTGATATAGCAAATTTAAAATAGGCTACGTTCTTTTTTAACTATCTATAGTTATACTGATCAACAGCAAATTTTTGAAAGTTTGAAAAAAATTGCTTTACGGCCTTCGCCCAACCGTCCCTCAGTATATTACTTATCTGTGACAGAGTCAAATGGTGTCTATTATGTTTCAGGTTCAAGTTGATCAATATCGTCTTTTCCGGAATACTTTGAATATTTTCAGAGATATATTTCTGAAGAAATTAATTCTATTGGGAAGACGTGTTACAGACAGTACCAGGTAGTTCCACTTTACAGATAGAATATTTATTTGCCGGGCATACAGTGGTCCGGGTGACTATAAAATTTATCTCACACATGCATGCAGATGTTTTCACCGATCACGGATATTTTAGGTCAGCCACAAAACACTTAGCCTGTGTTACAGACATAGAAGTAATATATACAGAATGCGTACTTGCATGATCATGTCTTCACTTTTTCTGAAGCGTGTTCTTATAAATCCGCCATATAAATGATCCAAGCCGCATCAAGTGAATAGCAGCCATGAATAAACTGGACACAGGCCAAATTATTGCGGGAGAATGGGATCAGGGTACAAAGTGAACCATTAGACATGTTATTGACCGACGGTCTTTGGCAGCCAGTGAGATTGTGTTTTTATCACATGAAATGCTACTTTCTCGTTGGTTCCAGGCATTCAGCGTAGTGCCATCAAAACACTGAAAAATTGCCTGAACTTTTAGTATCTTATCCTTTTTAGGAACTTATTATTTTTGGAAATAAATTGTAGGCCCCTATGACGCTTTTACTACATTCATGTATGATATATGAATGTAGTAAAAGCGTCATAGTTACAAGTTTTGTTATTATTTTGGCGCAGTTAATAAATATTTAATTTCGACTATAAATAGCTACTATGCACTGATTGTGAACTGTCAGAACTGCAGAATTGCATTGTTGTTTAGACATTTATTACATTTTTGCCATATTAATTTGACAAGACAAGCGCAGTTTTATCAAAATTTGAATATTTTATTGATTCGCATAACTGGAGATTTAATTTTTGATGAAACAAGCAATCGCGCCAATGTGAAAGTTTACAGACCTTACTTATATAGCAAGGTTTGTGACACATGCTACAATACGCTCATACCTCGCGACTTTCATAGCAGCACCTGCAGCCAAATTAGCAGCTCTAGCCAAATTCAAGATGGCTGCTGCAAGTGGTTAAACAAAATTTCGTTTACTTGGTCATTTGCTTACTTGGGGGAGGGGGTAATAACTCAAAATTTTCGTTTTTTTCTTGCTCAGTGAACGTCCAATATACCCACATTATTTTTATCAATTGTGCATTTTCAGGTAAATCGTTTTTAATAACAGTTGTTATTAAAAATGGTTTAAGCAATATTAACAATTTACACGAACAATATCTTTCTTAAAAATTACGCATACACAACGGTGTGGTAGTGCACTGGAACACTGTCTTTAATACTGAGAATTTTATTTAAGATTGCACAGTTATTTAACATTTTTAACATTGTCGTAACCACAGTGATGTAACCCTCAATGGAGCATCTTGTTGTTACATATGTCGGGGGGAATTTCCATTCTTGTATCCCGAAATGACCTTACAAGGGTAAGTGTTAGAAACAGGGTAAATATTAATATTAGGATTATATTTAAAATGGAAGATTCCGTTTGTCAGAAACTTCATCTTTTATGTAATGTTTATTTTTTTGCAGGTCGTCATTTTCGTATCTCCAAATCAATGCATTTTATAATTCTCAATCAAACGGAATGAGTAAGCCAAACTTTCAAATCCTGTTAATACTTTTATTTTCTTCCCATCCTTCCTTCTTTTCTTCACCATTTTTTTTCCTTGCGCCTTTGTTTCTTTTCTTTCTTCTATCTTTTTTTATCTTTTTTATTTCTTTTACCTTTTATTTATTTTTTTTTAAATATTTTTTTCTTTCTTTTAATTAATTAATTAATTAATTATTTATTTATTTAATGAATTTATTGAGCAATCTACATACATACTATATCAGGTACAAAGATAAATAATTGACAAACGAAAGACAAAACACACGTCACAGATCACAAATTAGTAGATACA